AGCAGCAGCAGCAGCAGCAGCAGCAGCACGACCGGACGGATGTTTCGGTGGGATTCTCGCTTGGCCGAGAATTTCGAGCGCGCCTTCGCCACTTTTCTCGGCCACGCCCACGGCCACGCCTAAGTCCCGGACTAGCAATACAGCATACACTCAGCACACATGTCAAGGCTCCTGTTGAGCGAAAACGCTGTTTTCTGAGCTGACGACGCTTGAGCCGGAGATAGACTGTTCGCGGCTGAGTTTATTGGCTTCTCTAGCGCGCTGTGGAAGAGAGAGCAGCACTGGGAGGCCGGCTGCGCCTTCATTGCGGGCCCGCACTTGGATTTCTTCCAAAGCCTTCCATTCGAAATTTTGGCGCCACCCAGCGCCCTGGACCGGCAATCCGAGCGCGTCGGCAGCCGAGCTGTGACTCGATCGGGCGTCGATATCGGTCCGAGACCCGATCCGCCTCATCTACAGCCAGAGTAGGTGGTCTAACACTGTGAATCTTAGGCGGGCGCTTTCTGCCACGTCTGCAGATTGGCTTGGAGCGGCGGCGCAAGTGCAGCTAGCGGTGTTGGTCTCGCGACTCGGCGTTCTTCTCGACAGCTCAAGTCGACCGGGCGCGTCACCGCGAACGACAGCTCTGCATTCCACAATCAAGCGACACTCCTCTTGTTGCTTTCATCTCTTCGCAGGCTGCAAGCTCGGATACGTATAGCAAGAGCAATCGACACTTGGATCCAGCAAAACCGGTCCGAGCGCACTTCATCTCGTCTTGCAGCTCGCCCACGTCTCTCATAAGCCGACACGTCGACAGTTTGAGCAAGCTGGACGGAATAAGAGCCCGCAGCGCTCGTTGCACCACTTGGTCAACCTTCCACCACCTCTAGACAGCAGCATTTCAATATGGCGGGCGATCGAGATCTCTTGATCGCATACGCGGTGCTGATGAGCGGTGCTCTGGCACCCATCTACTTTGGATCGTTTGCGTCGCTCAAGACGCCCAAGACGACGCGCGAGCTGATCAAGGCAGCCAGGAAGAAGCGCAAGGGCGGCGACGACTCGGATTCGGACTCGGACTCGGATTCGGATTCGGACTCGGACTCGGACTCGGATTCGGACGACGACGTGCTGGATCGGGTGACGTCGTCGGATGCCATGTGGTTCCCCATCATGGGATCGGCGGTGCTGTTCAGCCTGTTCTTGGTGTTCAAGTACCTGGACAAGCGGTACGTGAACCTGCTGCTCAGCTTCTACTTTGGCTTTGTCGGATGTCTTGCGCTGAGCCAGGCGCTGGTGTCGACGTCGCGCGGCGTGGTGGGTGGCAAGGTGTGGAAGAAGCTGCCGAGCTTCCGGCTGCAGCTGGACCAGCGCGGACAGGGGCGCGTGTTCAAGCTTTCGTTCACCACGGTCGACGTTGGCTTGCTGGCGGTGTCGGCGGTGCTGGTGGGTGTGTATCTGGTGACCAAGAACTGGATCATCAGCAACCTGCTTGCGCTGTCGCTCTCGCTCAACGCGATTGCGCTCATGTCGCTCGACTCGTTCCGCACGGGCGCCATCATGCTGGGTGGGTTGTTTGTGTACGACATCTTTTGGGTGTTTGCCACGCCCGTCATGGTGTCGGTGGCACGCAACTTTGATGCGCCCATCAAGATCGTCTGGCCCAAGAACATCCTCGAGGCGGTGTGGGCGCTGCGTGCGCACGAGACGCTGCCCAAGCTGCAGTTTACGATGCTTGGACTGGGCGACATTGTGATCCCGGGCATCTTTGTTGCGCTTGCGCTGCGGTACGACCAGCTCGTAGCGAGCGAGGCCAAACCGTCGGTTGGATTCACAAAGACGTATACGCGGTTCGATAAGCCCTACTTCCGCGCCACGCTGGCGGGCTACGTGGCCGGGCTGGCGACGACGATGGGCGTCATGCACTTTTTCAAGGCGGCACAGCCGGCGCTGTTGTACCTCAGCCCGGCGTGTACGGGCGCGGTGTTCCTCACGGCTGCCCTGCGCGGCGAGCTGAAGCAGGTGTGGAACTGGACCGACGGCGAAGACGAAGAGGCGGACAAGGACGACCAAAAGAGCAAGAGCGAGAGCAAGAGCAAGGGCAGCAAGGCAGCCAAGACGAGCCGGCCAGCCACGCGCCGCTCCAGCCGTCGATCCAGCGCCGCAAAGGCAGAGTGAGCTTGGCATTGATTCATCCACTACTGCATCTACCGAATCTGCATCATTTCGACAAGCAGAAAGACGTGTGTGAGGAGGGTGCATGCGCGACCGTGTGGTTCGACGCAAGGTCGTGCCGAAGTGCATGCAGGACCCGGTTGATTTTCTGGTAAAAATTGAGAATTTTTCTTTCTTGACATCCGTTCCGCGAGTTAGCCTAGGCAACCGTATCGCCTGGGCATGAGGTGCGAAGTTCGAGGGGTGAGACTGCCATGCGACGAGCAGAGGTCATCACATGCTGCTGCCACGGTCGCTGCGTCCCGGAGCTGATCCGATGGCAGCAGCACACGCGGATCGACGTCGGAAATGCGTCGACACAAAACCGCACGCACGGCTGCTGCCAACGAGCTTTGGAATTGGACGTTCGGAAATGCACCGAGCGCGGGCCGTCTGTCAGGCAGGGTCTGGTGGCCGTGCTGTTGGTGTTGCGCTGTGCTACTGCCGTGGATGAGGTCGGCGTGTGCGCGCGCGGTCTTCTTGGCGCGCCTTTTTTTTGGAATTTCTTTTTCGATTTATTGGCTGGATTGGTTCGGTCACAGTGCAGCAGCAGTGCATTCAGGCTGCCCTGGAAATCCCGCAAAATCCAAAATCAGGGGGGAAAAAGGGAGAGAAAGGGCCTCGGCGTGGATGCCGGCTGTTTCTCTCTCTCGTTGGCTCTCTCTTGGCTCTGCAATGCCGGCTCGGCCTCGGCGTTGATGGAGAGCCTTTGGACGACGCCATACCCACACGCACCAGCAACCATTCGTTGCCTTGGCTCGCTGCCATCGCTCTCAGCCGCAACCAACCGTGCTTCGTGCCGGCGCTCGTATGTCTACGTCCACATTCTAGAGCCTAGCTTGCTGCCACCACCTCCCCGATTCGCTTGCCTCCACCACTTGCAACCGGCCCACGCCGAAGCCTTGGCCCACCACCCGCACACACCGTCGCACCTTCTTCATCCTATGCAACCGACAACACACGCCACCTTCCTCCAACACCAGCGCAACCCGCCTCTCACTATCACCGCACACACTCGACACCAGCGCGACGACGCCTGCCCTCGCGCTCGTGCGATGGTCACTCCACCTACATAATCCTCACGCTCTCGTCCCTCCGTCCGTCCTCCTCCCGCCCACGCCACCACCTGCGCTCAACATGTCCTCCGGCGGCGCCTACTCTCCAGGCGTCAGCTCGTCGGGCTCCTCCTCCTCGTCCGGCGGCTGCTCCGGCTCCTGCTTCGACCCAGACCAGCTCAAGTACCAGTACCTCCAGGGCTACTTCAACGCACACATGCTCCCAGCTCCTTCCTACCGCTACGTCTACCTCCTCTGGTTCGTCACCATCCTCGTATCCCTCGTCCTCGGCTCCTTCCACATGCTCGGCCTCGGCGACAGATCCTACATCGGCGCCAAGTGGAAGCGTTGGGCCACCAAGAACCGCGTCTACAAGCTCGGCAAGCGCCTCGACATCCACGGCAACCCCGTACACAAGGACTCCCACGGCTTCATCCGCGCCTATGCTCCCCTCAAACCTCGCAAGATGCTCTCCTTCCCCAGCTTCGGCAGGCTCGTCCTCCTCTTCTTCATGATCGCCGTGCCCATCGTTCTCACCCTCGTCGGCGCCGACTTCATCGGCCCCACCAACGGCGTCTTTGACTTTTCCCAGAGCTGGCCTCCCCAGACCACCAACACCGTCGGCATGTCCAGGCGCGCACTCCGTCTCCTCCGCAGGCGCATCATCTGGGGCCAGGGCGCCTACCCCGTCGTCACCACCTACCCGCCCGTACGCACCCTCCCCTACCGCACCTGGTGGACCACCGGCGACCGCACTGGCGACATCACCATGGGCCTCGTCCCCATCGTCCTCATCATGGCCCTCAAACAGGTCCCCTTCGCCCTCCTCTCCACGCGTTTCTTTGGCGGATACGCTTTCGACCGCCTCTCCTTCCTCCACAAGTGGGGCGGCAGGATCATCTGGCTCTTCGGCACCGCACACCTCGTCACTTGGTGCATCCAGCTCAACAAGGACACGCGCATCGGCGAGCCCGTGTGGAGCTTCGTCTTCATGTGGACCAAGTTCCGCTGGGGCTGGGCCTCCTACGGATTCCTCACCGCCATGACCTTCCTCTCCATCGGGCCCATCCGCAACCGCTTTTACGAGTGGTTCTACATCGCCCACGTCGTCACCGTCGCCGGCTTCATCATCACCGCCATGCTTCACCATCCGCCCTTGGCCCAATGGATGTACATCCCCCTCGCTTGGTGGGTCGCCGAACGTCTCACAAGGGCGCTCAAGGTGGCTTGGATCAACGGCCTCGGCTTCGCAGGTCGCAAACCGCAGTTCGCCCTGGCTCCCAAACCGCAAATGTCCCACTCCCACTCGGCCGCCTGGTCAGAAGCCTCCTACCCACACCCTCAGCGCCCGCCTATGCCGCGCTCCCCCTACGCACATCCATCCTTCGGTCCCGGCCCTCAATCGTACCACTACCACGATGACAAGCCGCACACTCCCAACTCTCACCACGCCTCACACCCGCCCACCGCCTTTGACGGCAGCTCCGCATCGTCCCACAGGCACGCTCCCCAGTCTCGCCGCAGCTCCGAGTACGAGCACACGCTCGTCGAATCTCTACCCGATGCCGACAGCCGCAAGATCTGGAGTCCGCCGCCCCTCGATGGTCGCACAGAGCCTATGACATCCGGCGCAGCCCACCCACTCGAAGCGCGCCACGAGCACAGTCCCGAGCGCGGCGAGAAGGCGCTCGAAAGGAGGGCGACGCGCGCAAGTGCCCGATACGATCCGGTCAACGACCTCATCCAGGACTACATCCCATCCAGGCACTCCAACGCAGACGTCTATCCGCCTCCCCCGGCCGAGCCTTTGCCCGCGCTGCCGCAGCAGTACGCATCGCAATCGAGCTACGACGCAAAGTACTCGCTCCAAGATCCCGCCGATGCTCCGCACGGCTCGACCTACCCACCGCCCCATCCCAGCCGCATGCGCAGCGAGCCATCGTCGGCCTTCTCGGCCAGGCCATCCACCATGTTCAGCGTCATGTCCACAACCATGCCTCGACAGCTGCGACCACGTCCTGCCATGTCGGCAGACGTCGCCGCCGTCATCCGTCCCGGCTTTGCCTTTGTGCAGCTGCTGCCCGGAAAGACTCTGCGGCTCACGCTACGCACTCCCAACAAAATGTCGTGGCAGCCCGGCCAGTGGGTCTACCTCAACATCCCCAGCGTCCGCTTCTGGGAGTCGCATCCCTTCACCATCGCATCGGCCCACGACGCCGACTTTCCCGTCGCCACCGAGTTTGTCGATGCCGACCACGAAAAGGGGCTCGCCGTACAGAAGGCCAAGGGCGAAGAGAGGACCATGGTGCTGCTCGTCCGCTGCCGACGCGGCTTTACGCGCCATCTGTGGAACTTTGTGGCCAAGAAGCGCCAGATGCAGATCGAAGCCGCCGCCGACGCCCAGCACGGCGCCAGCGCGTACGGCATGCCAGGCACAACCGCCGTGCCTGCACTCGGCAAGGATACCACCGGCGTGCACATCCGTGCCATCGTCGACGGTCCGTACGGCTCGGCCGACCGCACGCACTGGAACATCCACTCGACCGTCGTCATTGTCTGCGGCGGCTCGGGCGTCAGCTTCGGCATGTCGGTGCTCGAGCATCTCTGTGCCTGCATGGTCGGCGCCATGAAGTTCGGCAAGGACGGCAAGGGCGGCAAGCACTTTTTGACCAAGCGCGTGCGATTCGTGTGGATCATGCGCGAGTTCTCGCACCTCCAGTGGGTCGCAGCCGCGCTGCGACGATGCATCGAGATGCTCCCGCCCGAGCACCTCCAGGTCGATCTGTACGTGACGCACTTTAACCACCGCTCGGCGCTCGCGGATGCAGCCAGGGGTGCGAGTCGAGGCGGACGCAGCCAGGACTTTGGTCCACCGCCATCCGAGTTCGGAGCCAACACGTACGACAGCCGTCAGCGATGGGGAGCAGGTGCCGAGGCCGACGGCGGGTTTTCCAAGGCGGCTCGCTTCACCGAGGGGCCCGAGCAGGAGGAGTACGACCTCACCGCCTACGACCTCACGCACTTTGACGGCGAGGACCAGAGTGCACCCACCGCGATGGAGGAGGAGATGAACAAGCGCATCCGCACCGAGGGCAAGCTGCGACGCGCCAAGACACGGCGCAACACGGTCAAGCGCAAGGGAGGTCGCGGCGCCAAGGCAGCACCTGCCGAGCTGGACCGTGACGAGCAGGTGATCGAGTCGCAGCGCGCCATGTACGAGGGGCGCATCAGCTCCGGTCGGCCGCAGCGCCTCAATGCTGCACCAGCACCCGAGCGACCTTCTTACCCTT